ATGTAAATATTTTCTAAAGTTTCTATAACTTCCGAATACGTCGAGATATTACGAATGTAAGAATAGATAGTTGGAGATATGTGGTTTACTAACAGCTTTAGCTTTATAGAATCTTCAGTATTCTTTCCACATTCTTCAGATAGAAAATTCTCAAATGTAAAACGCCAGTGCTTCTATTTCAGATCTGCTGCTGGAACATTTGGCTCCTCCTCAAAGCGATCTGGTCGTAGATAACGCATCATACTAGATTTGAGTTTTCCGGAATCCTTTTCGACTTTTTCTATAGACATTTTGAAAATAGTGTTTTACATATAAGCTGAATAAATTGTTATGTAATTAAGACAAGCCTTGAGAATTAAAGGCTTTATTCAGCTTATAAAATACATATAGGAAAATATTAGAAGACAAGAGAAAAACTATGACAATAATGACAAACATCATAGATATCTAGAGATGACGAAAGAGTACTATATCAGTCCTACAGACTTTGAAAGTTGTATTTACTATTGTGATAATACATATTATTTTGGTAATGACATGATTTATGTAAATGTCATTACTTATGATAAAAAGCTGGTAAGTTTCTTTCGCTTTTTCTTCTTGTCAGCTAAAAGACGTCCTGAACAAGTGGTAGGGGAAAAAGTTTTTTGAACGATTCAAAACTGCTTGTAATAGCCTACTTGAATAAAGATAATTCGTTTCGTTTCGTTTCATTTCATTAAATTTCTTTAAAGAATTTAATTACTTTTGGTCCCTTCATAAAAACTTTTTTCATATTTGATATTAAACTAACTGTCAACATTAGGGTTCTCTTTTCTAATCTGCCCCGCAACAAGATTTAGAGCATGGGCTAAACATGTGAAATGCAACATTTTTGGAAAAGTTGATTTTAAAATTCTACCAGCTGATATCATGTATGCCACACTGTCTGTACATAATATTCTAACGTTATCTAGTTTGCTCTCAAATGAACTTCCCCACATATTGTTTAAAGAATCTTGAACAAATTGTGATATCGTTGGTCCATTTACAGTATCTAGCATTTTACATGCCACTAAGTAACAAATGTACGATAGCTCTTCCTAAGAAATCCGTAGTTTCGTCTACTGAAAGCCATAGCTTTTTATCTACAATTTTACTTTGCATCTCTTGTGCTTTGATTTTAAAAAGCTGATCCAGGTAAACTTTTCTCAATAAGGATTCACTAGGTAGTTCAATATTTTTGCAATTGCAACACATGTACTTTTGAAAAAATGTTTTAAATACATTGTTGCTCAGTTGGGACCATGGTATGTTACAAAGAATCATAAATTCGATTAAGTCGAAGTAAAATTCTAAAGGAGTGTGCCGCTCGTTCTTCGTGCCTTTATATACTGCTCCTTCTACATGTCTTTGGACGTTACTCTGACGAGTTGCATTCAAATGTGCTTCGCATTTAGAGCAGTAAATTAATCCACTTGCATGGTCATAAAATAGCTCCGGATTATCTTTGATCCACTTGTTGACGGTGGCTTCTTTGATTGAACTCTGCGCCATGATAATACTTTAATATGGAGCAAAAAAAATATAAATTTAAGAAAACCGTATGAATGTGTTTGTAAGTATGTGAGAGATAGGGCACAACAGTTGCGAAGTTTAAAAGATCTAAGCGTGCATAAATTCATACAGATAGACAGACGGCGGGAAGCGAACTTTGTTTTATACTAAAGTTTAAAGGTAAAAAAGAAAATCAATAAAAGATTACCAGAAAATCTAACTCCAATCGTAAACCATATAGTCAATTAATTAAAAAAAAACGAGTCCCCTATGTTAAGCTTCTTCAGTAGCATTTGAAATCATTGTTACTTTATTGTGATTGTATCAAAAAACATCTTAAGTTAAACAATACCGATTTGGATAACAATAAAAGAAAACGTCCTACATAGGGAAAATCTATTTTAAAGGAACTTTAATAAAATATGAACAAAAACTTACCAAATATATAACCAATTTGAAATATCCAATTATTCAAAACAGTAAAGCCAAATCAAAGTCCGTTAATGCGTGCCGAAATAGTCGTATTAAGTAGAGTCCAGAATCCAGTAAACGAGCCAGGGTCAAACAGGATTGACTACATAAAACACAATAGGAAACAAGTGAGCGCATTCGACGAACCGAGGTAAGCGAATGAGCTGAGTGAATGAGTAAACCGATTCATTGCTAATAGATAGTTTGAATGCGTTAGAAAGAGACACAATCTAGTACATTACGTTAAGTGGGGAGTGCTCCGCATTTGCGCTATTGTATTCTTTTGTTCTCACAAGCTATGTTGTGCGAACTACAAATGTGGCAACATCGCGCGTATTGGTATTTTGCAACTTTGGACATCCGATGTCATTGATGTAAGTTTTGCAATGTCGTGAGTGCAGTAGTTTAAATTGTGTAAAAGTAAATAACTTTTTATTTAAAAAATCACCGGATCTTCTCTGCTTTTTAAAATTAATCTCGGGATTTGAGGCATATCCACTTTATTCTTTCGCTGTATGAAATCAGTGTAAGTACATGAATAACTCTACCTAATTCCGACCACTGATTATCACTAATTAATGATCGATTTACTCACTTCCAAGATTTAATAACTTTCTTTGTTAGTTAAATAATTGACTATAACTATCAGGCTATTTTGGTCCCCCCCGAGTTTTGATTATTACCTATGTTATGTTTACGTGTTTGATATTTCATGACTTGAATCGTGAGTTATGTGAACAAACATTTAAATGAAATAGGTATCATCACAGTTACTGTACCCATCATATACTTATTTTTTCCTTAAAAATATGCGACGATATACCTATGTAGGTAGAGACTATTACTTGCACATAATCATAATACGTAAATAGGTACAACGCGTTCATAAAATAAGCAAAGTATGTTACACGTCTGGGGGCACGGAATTGTTCACGCCAAGTCAAGCAAAAGCCCTCTGTTCTTTTTGCTCAAATCAAATAATTCAGTACTATATTTCTGTGAGAGAGGTAGCCTTGTCATAGGTTTAAAAATACTTGGCAAACGTACAGGTATGTACAGATATTCTATTTCACGAAGTCCGTTTGACTATGAATGTTGTAAGGTCTGTACGTTAATCCTATTTTTTGGCGCCATTTTCAAATTTGTTAATGCAAGGTGAATATAAATATAAAGATTCCCTCTTTTCAAAAGAAAATATTATAAAATTGGAAAATTGTATAAAAAAAATATTTATCAATTAAATCCATATTATAACTCTTCTTAATTCATTTGTTTATAAACTCCGAGTGAATAAATTATTGTTTGAACTATGGCGCACAATACTTACAACTGTTTCGACTGATCACGTGATCAAAAGTACTGCGAGCACCTTACCTCGAAATCTCCAGTACTCACAGTAAAAATATGGCGGCAATTTATGACGTCATAAATTTCCCTAGGGTACTGTAGCAGTGTACTGGCAGTCCATAACGGAACGGATTTTTCAGCAGTAAGACCAGTGCTCGCAGTGTATATCGGAACATACCCTTAATCTTGATACGTTGCGTTGTCACCTCTGCGATGCTTTATGCCGCGTTCGTAACCGTTGATATGAGCCTTTTTTGATCGAAGATATGAGCACACTAATAATAAAGGACCGCCTCGTTGAAACAAGTTGTTGGTTGAGTCTTCGCGAGAAGAAGGGCGCAAGCGCCGTGCTATGGGCGTCACTTACGCGTTTTAATCGATTATTATTCCGATTGTCTTGAGGGTTAGAGAAAATTTTTATTCACTGTGTGGAGATTTCCGATCACTGTGTTTTCGCACAAAATTAACAAATATTGATTTGATATACACTCAAAAACACACACTGGCTTCCCAAAAGTAACTTAAATAACTCGCTTTGGTGAATTGACAGATTAACCAGAAATTTTAATTTATTTGTAGGAGAACTGTAACAATAGCTGTTGCTCGTAAGCATGAAAAAAAAATATCTTTGGTAATTAAATTCGTTTATTAACCCTAACCGAAACGAATTACCGCTAAAAACTCGGGTTAACCGATAATACAAGTTAACAGTTTCAATTAATAACCCTTTCATTTCGGTTTAGACTGTATACCGTTTACCCTTTCATTTCGGTTTCAAACAAAAACACTTTTAATCTGTTAACTGTATCAATCTGCAACCGTTTCAAACGGTAAAGCGAATGAATCGGTAACCTTTATAAGCGGTTACCGTTATGAATGGGTTATCCGTTCCCTGGATATTTCACGCTACTTTTTCCAGTATCTGCAAATGTCAGTGTCACTTAATGTCATGTGAAATTGGTGTCTGTTCAATTGTATGGCATTGAGTGCTGCTTTGCTGTCAGAAAAGATTTAAATTTTTTGATGTATGTAGTTTCGTTGGCAGTTGACTTCTGCACATTCTAAAATGACGTATACCTCAACCTGAAAAATGGTAGCGTTTGTACCAAGGTTTACACTTTTTCTAAATCTCGGTCTTTCACCATATATTCCACAGCCTACATTCCGATCCATTTTGGAGCTATCCTTCTTTGGTTCAATCAAACAAGGCTTTCTGTTTTGCAGGAGTCGTGTTATTCTGACCGTTTTTCCTGCATGGTATTTCCACTGAATAATTTCTAGTGTAGTTACAAAGTGGTGGCATTGCATCCGTAATTATTGCCAGTGGTTGTTACCAAGTACTGTTTGATGTAAGGATCTCAATGCTTGGGACAGCCACTATTTTTGTCCAAATGTAGGGTCAGTAGGCTCAGCAAGGAATTAAAAGTTGCATAGCAAGGCATTTTAGTTAATAAATTTGTTAAATTTATATAGTCTATAAAAAACTAGAGAAAGCATTTTTTTTGGCATTGTCAGGTTGTGAAAAAGTTGTACGATTTTTGGATCATATTGGCAACATCGTTTCTGCCTTTTAATTTAAAGTTTTCGGGCAAACAGCATTGGAGAGTGAAAATAATTTCTCAAAATTGAATTGGCCAAAAAATACAATGTTGAAGGTAATAAATTTTACTCTAAAATTCCAAAATACAACAAACATGTAGCATGTCCCGCCCGTCACACAAGAAAATGCAAAAGTTATATTTTAAACTCAAAATTGTTTGTTTGTTTGTTTCTATGCTTATTTTTGTAAGTTAGATTGCTTTTTTCAGCTGTTTAGATATATGCTGCTAACAGAAAAGGGAAATATAGGGAAAAGTTGAATAGTGACGAAAGAAAGTGGAAGATTGCTAAAGAAAACGAAAAACAATATGATAAAAAACGAAGAGAAAAGGATAGTCTCGCTACGCGAAAGTAATGAAACTGCTACAATTCAGTCGAGACAAAAAGAAGGGCTACGTAAACAAAAACAATTGGTTGTTAGGGCCTTATTAGACAATAAATATTTTGAAAAAAGTAGTTGTCTGACTAAACTGATAAAGAAAGCTCTTCTGAAAGTCTAACCAACTGTGTAACAACAAAGATATCCAAATGTATTGGTTTAGTATATAAGAAAGTACTTTTTTTGTTTTTTATATATTATTACTGTTAAGTTTTTTATTTTTTCTTTAAATTATCTATGGGATGCCACCACAATGTTGTGGCGTTTTCTCGAAATAATGGTTTTTGAATTGTGCCACTGTAGTATTCAGTGAGCGATATTATAATTTTCAGTATTGAAATGAAAATATCTTTATTCAAGTAGGCTATTACAATCACTTTTGAATCGTCCAAAGAATTTTTTTTCCCCTACCACTTTCAGGACGTCTTTTAGCTGACAAGAAGAACAAGCGAAAGAATCTTACCTGCTCTTTATCATAAGTAATGACATTTACATAAATCATGTCATTATCAAATAATATGTATTATCATAATAATAAATACAACTTTCAAAGTCTGTAGGACATAGGTTGAACATATAATTAGTCTTTATAGAACAAAGCAAAGGCTATTAATTCTATAATAAATTTATTTATGGGTATTTTAAATTTATTTATGGTATTATTACTTTCATAAGTTGGTTTAAAATATCTATTTGATCCATATATTAAGATCAAAGTAGAAAGTAACAGGTCAAAACATAAGGAATTCTGGAGTACACACCAGTCACTATGGAATGCCCCATGTTTTACAAATTATAGCATTGTCAATGCAAAAATGATTACATATAAAAATGTACCTTTGTGCCTTTGTTTCAGGAATCAATACTAATCGGTGAAGAAGTAAATGAAAAATCTACACGAGATGAACCACATAAGTAAGTATGCACTTATAAAAACACTATGTAACAAATTATTGGTAGCCCTTATTGGTGTCGGTGAATTCTTACATTGATCCAGAAAACGAATCAAAATCGAACCACCAACAAAATCCTCATGTCTATTTCAGGTCAGAAACCAATTTTATTGATATGATAAAAAGAGTATTGGTCGAATACTCACCTACTGTATCCACCGATAGTGAAGAACTCGACTTGGATTGCGTGTGCCATAAGTGCCCCGCGACTATGACCAGCACACCAGAACTGGTAGAACATTTCATCAAAATTCACTCATCTGATATCACGAACTATGAAACTTTGCAGCAATTTATAAAAGAACATATCACATTCGAAGAAGCGCTCAACATGGAGGATTCAGATTCAGATGATGGATCAGAAGCCAACGTCGTTTCACGTCCACAACAAAAAACAATTGACGCTTTACGAAATTTCTTCTGTCCATTTTGCAAGAACATATTCTCTTCGTCGACCCGACTCATTTGCCATCTCAATCGACATATCGAAGTATCAATAGACGAAGGCGTACAGTGCTGCGAGAAAACTTACAGCAACAAAAAAACGTTCGTGCAGCACTTGCAAGAACAACACGTGAATCGGGTTCTAGACGAGAGCAAAGACATCTGTCGAAGTTGCGGTTTCGAGGCGGAAGACGCGTGCGAGCTTCAAACGCACGTGAATACAGTGCACGACTACAGAAAGAGCGGCAAGAGAAAAAACATCGAGGGGAGCGCCAAAAACCAACGATACATTCCCGCCGTCTGCCCGGAATGCAACAAAACTTTTTCGAACAAATACAACATGTTCGTGCACATGAAAAGTCACAACGGAGGCGGGGGAGAGAAGTATCCTTGCGATAGATGCGATAAATCTTACAGCAACCCGGGAAACTTGAAGTACCACAAGAGAGTCACGCACGAGGGGATAATGAATTTCCCTTGCACGTTTTGCGGCGAAGCGTTCCCCGGCCGCCTCGCTCGCGATACACATATGCGAATACATTCGGGCGACACGCCCTACTCGTGCCGAGAGTGCCACAAATCGTTCCGGGCCAAGAACAGCCTCGACCGACACCTCGACGCCCATCTCGATATAAGAAAATACCGCTGCTCCGTCTGCCCGAACAGATTCAGGAAGAGAAGTCACCTGAACTACCACCTAGGCACGCACGAGTCGAAGAAGTGAAGTAACGAAGATTATTTGTTGCAGATGGGAATCCCGCCCGGTCAAACTCGAAAAGATAGACCTAGATCGAACCGTTCGCGAACTCGTCGACCGCGGGGACGACGAGGTGGACCGCGACGGCGGCCGCCGGACCGGCGAGTCCGCCGACGAGGACGACGAGCCGCTGGCAAACCTAGCGAGCAGAAAGGCGGCCGACCTCTATGCGAACTTCTACCGAGCTCTCGTCGACTTCAAAGACCATCTCCGGCGGGAGCACGCCCCCGGCCCGCCCGATTCCGAATCGGACGACTCCGAGGCGACCGACGGAAACTTCGCCGAACCGGCCGACCCCGACGTCGACGGCTACGACGACCTGTCGCCGTGCAACATGAGGAAGGACAGGATGGACGAGGAGACGCGCCTCGAGCTCGGCCGCGTGCAGACGAAGATAAACGGCAGAGCGTTCTACGCGTGCCCCGTCTGCGGGAAAAACTTGAGCTCGGCGCACACGTACGTGTTCCACAAGCGGATCCACACCGGCGAGCGGCCGTGCGTGTGCCACGTGTGCGGGAAACAGTTCCGCGCGCCCAACGGGCTGCGGCGGCATCTCACCGAGACCCACGAGCGGGCGCGCCGCCACGCCTGCCGCCTCTGCCTCAAGAGCTTCGCCAACTCGCAGAACCTCAAGCAGCATCTGCGCATCCACACCGGCGAGAGGCCCTACGTGTGCGCCGACTGCGGGAAACGGTTCGCGCAGAGCGGCTCGCTGCACGTGCACGCCAAGACCCACAGCGGGCAGATGCCGCACGAGTGCGCCGAGTGCGGGGCCAAGTTCCGGCTGCGGGCCGGCCTCCAGCGGCACCGGCTGCGCCACTCCGGCGAGAGGGCCCACGCCTGCGAGCTGTGCGGCCGCGCCTTCCGCCTGCGGCACGAGCTCACCGCCCACGTGCGCAGCCACGACGTCGCGCGGCCGCACGTCTGCCGCGCCTGCGGGGCCGCCTTCCGGCAGCGGCGGGCGCTCCGCCACCACGCGCGCCGCGTCCACGGCCTCGACGCCCCGCCCGGCGAGACGCCGCCGCCCGCCCCTCCGCCGCCGCCGCCGACTTACGCTCGGGTCGCGAACTACTAGATTCCTCGCTCTCAACACCGAACGGAACCCGCCCGTCCGGGCGGGTTCGCTCCAGATTTCAATATGTCTTCCGATCGAGGAGCGCCCGGGACGAATCCTCTCCGTGATATTTCCGTTCGCAGAACCGCCGACGCGGCGGAGGGCGCGACGGCCGGGGAGCCGAGCGCGAGGCGGGCCTCAGCCCCGGCCGAAAGCCCGAAGCCGACGGCGCCCGAGGGCGAGGGGCCCGCCCCGGCGAGTTCGCGGCGGCGGCGCGCGCGGGCCGCCTGCTGCCCGACGTGCGGGCTCGGGTTCGTCGACGGCGGGAACCTGGCGCGGCACGTGCGCGCGGTCCACGCCCGCCAGCGCCCCTACTCGTGCGCGCTCTGCCCGAAAGCTTTCTCCCGCCGGAGCCACCTCGAGGACCACGCGAGGTCGCACTCGGACCGGCGCGACTTCGTGTGCGACGCGTGCGGGAAGGCGTCCAAGTCCCCGGCGGCGCTGCGCATGCACCGGCGCGTGCACTCGGCGGGCCGCCTGCCGTGCCCGCGCTGCGCCGCCGTGTTCCGCCGCGCGGGGGAGCTGCGCGCGCACCTGTCCGTGCACACCGGCGAGCGCGCGCACGCGTGCCGCTGCGGCCGCGCCTTCCGCCTGCGGAGCCAGCTCACCGCGCACGCGCGCCGCCACCGGGGGCCCGCCGCGGACTAGCGCCGCCACCGGGGGCCCGCCGCGGACTAGCGCCGCCACCGGGGGCCCGCCGCGGACTAGCGACGCGCAGGTGCGCCCGCCGCCCGGCCCGAGCGCCCGCCGCCCGCCGGGGACGACCTTGTGACGGGGCCGCTCTGTTGCAGGTCCGAGGAGGGCCCCGCGCCCTGCGCGTACTGCCCCGCCCGGCTGCCGGCCCCCGCGTACAGGGAGCACCTGGCGGCCCACCACTCGGCCAGCCTGTTCCACTGCGACGAGTGCGACGCGTACGTCGACCGGAAGGAGTTCATCCTGCACATGTCGCGGCACGCGGTCGAGTACGCGCGGCGCGAGAGGAGGGAGCCCGCGCGGCGGCCGAGGCGGGCCGGCCGGAGGAGGGCCGCCGGGAAGGACGAGAACGAGAACGACGAGCGACGGAAGCGAACCCGACGGCCCCCCGGCGGGGGCGGGGCCGACGCCCGAGCGGAGGACGGCTCTCCGGGGGCGCCCGAGGTCCCCGCGCCGGGGGACGCGCCGCCGAACGAGTTCTCCGACCACAGCGACTCGGCGGACGGGTTCGGGCCGCTGCCCGAATCCGTGTTCGAGGCGATCGAGGACTCGCAGGAGAGCCGGCCCCGGACCCCGGGCTCGCCGACCCCCGGCGGAGCGAGTCCGCGCGCCCTCGAGCCTCCGCCTCCGCCCCCGCCGCCGCCGCCGCCGCCGCCACCGCCACCGCCGTCGACCGAGACCGCACCGGGTAGGAAGACGCGGACGTGCCAGATATGCGGGAAGGGGTACGCGGCCGCCTCGAGCTACTTCTACCACATGAAGCACTTCCACGGGCGCAGCCGCGAGCACGAGTGCGGCACGTGCGGCAAGCGGTTCGGCACGCGCGCGGCGCTGGGCGCGCACGAGCCCGTGCACAGCGGCGCGTGCGCGTTCGGCTGCGACGCGTGCGGGAAGCGGTTCCGGTCCGCGGCGGGGCTGTACATCCACGCGCAGACGCACGGCGGCGACGCGCGCAAGCGGTGGCGGTGCGCGCAGGCGCAGTGCGGGCGCGCGTTCCGCTGGCGCGCGCAGCTGGCGCGGCACGCGGCCCGGCACGCGCGGGCCCGCCCGCACGCGTGCGCCGTGTGCGGGCGCGGGTTCAGCGTGCGCGCGGACCTGCTGCGGCACGCGCGCACGCACGAGCGCGGCCACCACGCGTGCGCGCACTGCGGCCGGAGCTTCGCGCAGCCGCGCTACCTGAAGGTGCACCTGCACAGGAAACACCCGCCCGCCCCCGCCGGAGTGTAGGCTCTATGCGAATAGACTGAATCGATGCGTTTTGACGGTCGAAAAGTGGATGTAAATAAAATGATCTTTGTTAAATGGCAAAATTTTATTTCTAAACGATCCCTCGACGTCGCTCGGGTGTATTTAACAGATTTATATAAATATGTTTACATTTTTTATTGACCTTCGTCAGAGAAGTGTATGATAGATCGCTCTAAATATTCTGTGCGATGTTTTCGATAGTTACATTTATTAAAAAAAAAAACTGCGTTAATCGAACGAACTGCCTAGCACGACTCGATCCACATAGACAATATCGATAATACACGAATATACATTTGTCTATCGATGATCGCATACATAGTCGGCGTCGGCCACCATCGATCGAAAGTCTGAAGTAGCCGAAGTTAATAAGCGCATCTCCATATACAGTGGTGGTCATATAATTAGAAAATATAACTTCAACATATTCAATAATCATACAATAAATGAAAATTAAACACGTCTTACTTTTAATTATAAAATGAGTCTTACACGTGTAGGAATTTATTTTCTGTTACTGGCCGCTCGGACGTTCTTATTTTATTATGAAATTGAAAGTAACAATTCTTTCTTAGCTTTTTCAATTATTTTGGCGGCAATTCGAAATTTAATCTTGATTTTATTCTGTTAAAAATGTAATGTTTTTGTTAAAAAAAGACTTCGATTTTTTATGAATATTTTTATTTAAACATATATTTAAGAATGAATTTGTAGAAGCAATTACTAAATTTGTTTAATAGGCATAAAATACAACTGGCGCCATCTAGTGACGAAATTTCGGGGTTATTTACGTTGAACGATATTACGTTATGATCGGTTTCATTAAAAACGACCATTACATGAAATGGCCTCATGGACTGATCATTTCCTACGATCTGGCACGACATATAGGTACATATAAATGGATATTAGACGTCGAACCTTGGTACTGCTGTGTGTACATATCCTTATAAAACTAATTACACATTTAATGAGGGTGATGTTTTGGTTCATTTACAAGACGAGATCATTAGCTTAATAAATGATTATATTGGAGAACGTACACAAATATTATGTTGATTATCTTACAAATTATATTAATCATACACACTAATAAAAACAAGATTAACTGTGCCTGTCTGTTACTCTCACAATTCAACCACTGAGCCTCACGTAACGGAATCTCATTAAGATAATATTCCCGAGATGACAACACAGGTCACTTTTAAGCATCAATAATATACTCTGAAATCTAGGCGAAAGTAAAAACTAGTAACATAATATATATTACAAAACATATTTTGTACACTAAACAGTATTATCACAATCCAATTGAATTTCGCTAGCAAAACTTTTTTCCATAATCAGCCCATCAATGAATTTGAACTCTGCAACAAAAATCAAAATTAGCCATTAAACATATCAAAATTATCATATGTGCATAGTTGTACAAGGCAACATCGTAGAATATGTCTAAAGGCATCAAACTTGTGATTATACTATGAACTAGAACTAGGAACAGAAAATCGTTAATTGCAATTAAATTTAATTGGACTATATTAATTTCAAAAGAAGAAGCCAATCCTCAAGAAGGTCCGAAGGAGGGATTCATTTTCATTAGTAAATATAACACTTCTCAAATTTACTATTTTAGTCGAAATTCGTGAAATGTTATCAAAAGTGTGAATCATAAAAAATATTTCCAAGAAAATATACATTGCTGGTGAAGTGCGCTTATATATTACACTGAGCGTCACTAAGCACGTAATGCAAAGAACATCTCGATATCACCGTTCTAAAAAGTTTACATTTTATCAATTCTTCAATATTAGTCAGTTAAAGCTAAATAAAGGTAAGGTCGATAAAAATAGTGGTAATAAAAGTTAAGTTTAATCAGAGATTAACAATAGCAATAAATAAATTTTATAAAAATTGATAGTTTGAATTTGTTGTTGAAAAGATGTTTAAAACAGTGCAGTTCCTCATAAAAATGTTGTATACACTGTATGTACTTACTTTTTAATGAAATTATAATTTAAATACATACATATAAAAAAGTCTCTACATAGTATATTGTGTTCCCCTAAAATATAGTCGGGGAAAGAGACGGCTGCCTCATGACCCTGTTCTAGACTGCCATATCGATACGAAATCGAGTAATGAAACGGAAAAATCACCTTCTATTATTATTTATAAACAGACCAACATATATATGCAAATAAATATTTAAGCACAAATGGGACTGATTCAATGATAGTTCATTATTAGGAAGTGGAATTATTAACAGTCATAAAAAGTTTCATGCTTTTTTTTTAAATATTAATCATTATAGAAAAAATATAATATCACATTTAATGAATACGATTAAATTGAAATCGAAAATAACATAAAGAAGTGATTACTCCGGTTGCGCGGGCGCGTCGCCCTCGTGCACGAGGCGCTGCCGCTCGCGGTACATGGACACCTGGATGTTCTGCAGCTGGTGGTACCGACACACCTTCAGTGTCGAGAACACCGCCAGACCCACGCACGTCGCGAACAGCCCCCACGCGCCGAACTAGCCCGCCAACAATCAAATGTACAAGTGTAACTGACGTCCGTGACGTGGGCAAATCTTTGAAATAATTCAAACAGACCAACTGAGCCGTCTCTTATCTCTTCACGTCTCGCTACAACGACGCGGCTTTTTCCGTGATAGTAGCGTTGACAGTAATCTAGTACCGTACACAGTGAATTTCTCATTGTCCTTCCTCATACGTATAAAATATGAGTCACATTACAATCGAAGATAATATTGTTATATTTAATTTACGGGAAAACTATTGTTTACATGTTTTGTGATCGGTGGCAGTCTTCTGAAAGTCTTATTTGAGTTCAAGTTTTTATGATTTATGATATTAACGTTTTAACATATATATTAATTTTACAAGTTTTGTTATATTAACTCACTTGTGCCATGCCAATTTCCATGTAGAAACCGTTTGTTGATATTTTATCTACTTTGTCTATGTCTTGTCCGGCTGCATCTTCACAACTGTAATAAAGCATATAATGAGATACAAGCCCAACGATGTGATGGAGGAGAGAAACAGAATTAAATCTATCCTAACTGATCAACTACTTAATTAATTGTATATTAATAAAACTTAGACATAAAGTGCAATAAAACTTTAAAAATCATCTTTGTTTAATGAATTTTATTATTATTATATTTGATCAATTTTGCATTCACAGTACTATACTGAAAAATAGTCGCTGATGTTGAGTTGACTAGCTAGTCCTGCTATCAGAGGCGGATCCAGCTTTAGCGCCAGGGGGAGGCATAGTCGTGGTCAAGTCACAAGAAATTATAATTTAATTTTGATAATAAATATACACAAGTAAAAAGTAGGTTTTTTAACAAATGTAAGTTGTACTTATAAACAGTAATATCATGTTATCATGCTCCGGAGATCCGTCCTTGCCTGCTATATACCTCTGTATTTTTGTCATAGAAAAATCATCAACACCAAACTGTAATTGTTTATTCACCTGGGAAATCTCTGGACGATGTTGGTGCACCAGGTCATAAAGCCGAGCGTGACGACCACGGCTGCGGTCACGACGAACGCGCACAACGCAACGCAACCCACCGCCTCCACGAACGCAGACAAGAAAGAGCTATCTTGACCCCGATATAAGAACAAGGACATTCTGCCAATGCAAACAACACCAATGTCATAAATTAAATTTTACTTTATTTTTTATAGAGCAGTTATATACTTTTGTAACAATCTAGTAGTAGTTTAGTTTGGTTCCGGATTACAAATCAAAACTGCACCAGTCTCAAGCTGGTTGTAACTTATTGTATAAGTCAACTAACAGCAGTTAGTAGATCTAAGTAAATCTTACCTGTATATCTGTACGAGGCACACCAGGAACATAAGCACACCAACCACAATGACATAGTCACAGTATGCTCTTGACGCCCATGACACCAGCAACTGACCATCTACTTCCTGCCATTCTCCTTTTGAGAATAAGAGGCAATGACCACTACAATAATAAAATTAATTTTTGTGTTGAATAATCCATTTATGGAGAAGGCTATATATTATCACACTATGACTGAAAGTAGTGGAGCAACAATAAAATACATTGCAAAAACTGTACAACCACAAGAGTGTATCTGCTGGAAAAAACTATTTGGTAATAAAATGTTTGTTTCTTGTTTATTCATTATTCTTTGAGAAACAGCAGCATTTAGTTAGCAATTTGGTAGTACAGTTGCTAAGACAGTTTCCACTACAAAACACAAGTTATATTAAATGAAATACAATGGACCCTCAATAATCCGGCCCTTGTCTAATCCAGCACCCCCTGTAATCCGACATGTCCGAATATTTTTTGGTAGATACGTAATGCATGACTGAACAGGTCACAACTTGTGCGCGCCATTCGCCATTCATGCGCTCAATGCGTAGGTTTTGTTTTGATTCAGATTGATTAGTTTGAATTTGACTAAAGGTGATAGTGGTCCGCGGCCTAGCATATGTGCATTCATTGTTTACATACTGGTTATTCTTAGGCAGTACTCTATAATCCGACAAATTCGATAGTCCAACACTGCCCTGCAAAACGTTTATCGGATCACCAGGGGTTCAGTGTATATTAAAATAACTTTAAGGAAAAATATTAATTAACTACTGGCCGCCAGCGACTTCATCCGCATTTACCATTATTTCTTCGCTCATAATAGTTGCAGTGTGATGTTATATAGCCTAAAGCCTTCCTTGATAAATGGTCTATTCAACACAAAAAGAATTTTTCAATTTGAACCACTAGTTCCTGAGATTAGAGCGTTCAAACAAACAAACTCTTCAGCTTTATAATATTAGTATAGATTGTTTTGTAGAATCAACTGTTCTGCCATCCTAACAAACAGTGAAATAACTTGGTTTGGCTACATACTTTTAGGCTAATCACAACTAAAATTTTTTTTTTTGTTTTGACTATCAAATTAATCACTTTTAGTGATCAGGCTGCTGATTTTATTTCTTCAATTTTCATATTATTATAGTATTTTTGTTTTGTGTGTACAGTAAAGAATATTCTATCTAATGCATCATATCAACAGTATCACAACTACTGGCTATACAAAAAATCAACTAAGAAGGAAATATTGTCTCATTTTAATGATCAGATTCACTTCTTTTTTTTTCACTTTATTAGACTTATCACACACTGCAGTAAACATTAGGATAAAACAATTTCAGTATATATTAGATTTCATAAATGCTTTCATAATACTGTATTAATATTATCTTACAGAAAAATACTTTATTCCAACTTTAGTGTCATAGTACTGGTGAAATTTTGAAGTATTTTCGATGATATAAATATTAAACCTTAATTGTTTAAGTCTAAGGGGCAAAGTTAATTCCAAAATTTATATTTTTGGTATACATGAGGACCATAGGATTCTTTGTACATAGTGGCCCTTGCAAATCACATAGAGACATGCTCCTCGAAAGCCAAAATCTGGAGCACACATGGTGATTTAGTGTTTAGTGTAGTGTAGTCGATCTACACTATAACAGGTAAGAAAAGTTCAATGAAGCTGAATCACATCTTTAATTAAATTATTAAATATTTGATCTGACACCAACAACGTTAATTCAACTTTAAAAAAATAAAAACAACAAATTTAAAGAACGTACGTTGAGCAGGTAAACTTACTTAAATTCATCTTGGTGCATACTCATGGGCACAATTATACAGAGAGAAAGAATTAAACCGACTATATAGCCTGCTATCTGACTCAACAACAACACATTTGTTAGTGCCATCACTGTGGTACAAAGCACTATTTAAAAGAAAATATTATTTATAAGGGTTCCTTGGTTAATTTAATTGCCGTATTAGCATGTACAATGAAACAAAATTTACGTTACGGGCGTAAAAAGTCGTAAAATTAAAATCATAACAAACGAAAACAGTATCTGACTGACACTTAGTGATAGATAGATAGGGATAACCGATGTATATTGACTTTCAAAATTATCGGTTCCGATAAATACCAATACTTCTTAATAAATGAGATCGTCTTCGAATGAGGAAGTATTTAAAAAAAAAACGAAAGCACTAAAAAATACCTCCACTAGATGGCGACTCTAGCAAAAGTTGATTTTTTGCAGGAAATGAATGAACCTTTTAACTAACATATTAAAAAAAACTGAAATTTGAAAAGTTCGTTACTTAGATATCAATACAAATACGAAAAAGTACAAAAGGAACATGAGTTGTTTATTGAGTTTTGAAACCTAATTTACTTTTTAACTTGAAAGAATACTGGAAAGGTTGTCATGGAGAAATCAAGAACGTACCGTAGCAACATCTAGTTTGATTTCGGGAACTAAAGTTTTTTTTTTAATACTACCTCATTCTGAAGACGAATTCTCCATAAATCGCAAGCATTAAAAATAGCTTTCTATCTTGTTTCTAGTTGCAGTGGCATACCGGGCCTTGAAGAGAAAAAAATGTTTGAGGGGCCGAAGGGTAAAATTTGTCAAAAGAATTAAATATGTTTATATAAAACTATGCGAATTTTAATCGTGTGTGTACATCGATTATTGTGGGATTTATTTATATGTATATGCGATTATCGTTACACGAATAATATTTTTTTATAAAAATTCACAATATTTGCAACGTTTATAAACAAAATAAAACTCAACATACAAAAATAAACATTTTGCAATGTCGAATTTTACTAATCCATTTCATCTTTTATTGAAGCCCCTTACAAAGATCATCGATTATTATTATTATTGATATAAATAGTTTGATATAACTTTTTATTATCACACAGATAAGAAAACGTACATATTAGTTTTCTTAAGTCTAAGGCGCGTGGTAATTTGCCAACAGTAAAACTGGATCGGATGGATCGTTATAACCACCATAAGATGCTATCCTTTATAGAGGTGGAAATAACTGCTTAAAATTTTTAAGTGTTATTACGTTGTACGAATTGTAATAAGCGTTTTTAAAAACTGTTTATTGCTTAAATGCTTTTTTTCAACTGACGTTAAAAAATCGTTATAATAATCGTGCAACATTGTGTTATCACCACATAGTATAAAACAGTCGCTTAATCTTTAAAACTGCAACGGATTTTGATGCGGCTTTTATCATAGATTGGGTGATTCAAAAGGAAGTTTTTATGTATAATACAAAACCACAATACTATTACTGTTTCTCGACATTTTATTTACACAATCTTAAAACTAATGCAGTTCAATAATATTTAAAATATTTTATAAACACACCATCACCTCATAACAAAACTTATTTATATTGTTTATTTAGGAATAAACAAAAGTCATTACTTAAGTAGCAATTTATTTACGCATACAATTCAACTTACGCAATTAATTAACATTCAACACAACGTGCACTTAATTCAACAACGAAAAGCGTACTGCTTTTTAAGTATAAGTTCCGTTTAAAAAAGCGTTTGGATTAACCAACCAAAAAAGTTATTGCGAAAAGTCTAGTTGGATGTCACGTAATAGTATAATACAGTGCATTTATGTAAAGTGCTGCCCTCTAATAGAAAAATGCCGAAACAGAATAAATTGATTGAAGGTAGTAGTTATATCTTGATAGTTGGCGGGACGTATAAAAAGCATTAGCATACTTTACTTCTAACCGCTTTTGCACTTATTTAGAAAAGCACGCTTAATTAAGTGCTTTTCGCATAGAATTAATAAGTACTACGTAAGTACTTATTAATTCTATGGCTTTTCGTTTAAACGTTCATCTCTAACCTTTAATTTGACACACACAATTATTCAAAACGATACAAGGACCAAATCAAATTATTGAAACCTATTCGATATTTAATGAAAGGAACACAGATAACCTCCAATATCTACCGCATGATAACTATTTTATTAAATAAATAAAGATGCCTAGTATCCATACCTGCGGGGGTGGCTAATAATGATGCTATTACAAAAAAAAAAAAGATTATTTAAGGCAATAGCAACATAAATAAAATGATGTTTTCATAAAATACTTGTCGGCTTTTTGTTTCGTGCTGGTGTTTTTATTTCATTGTTTTGATACTTCTCTTCAGATTAACCGAGTTGAGTCAAGTTTTTGCATCTTTTCGATTCTAATGAGAAAAAAAGAGGTATTAGATAGAATATTGCATTAAAAACTTCATGCTTGCATTTATTGAAAATATAAACATTTATTACAAATATTATGTTATATGAACTAGATCCCTTTGTCTTAAATACAATTAGAATGAATGTCAAATGTTGTCATTTTTGACAAGACATGTAATTTCGTGTGTCAAACTGGCTAAATTGAACGTTTGTTGGTGATGTGTTGCGTGGTGGTCTGTGTAAATTAATTATTTGTTAAATTAGTTAAAAGTATGTTTTTACAATCTTCATAATATAAAAAATATAATTGAGAATGAATTTTAATGCTTCCAGAAACGGTGAGTAGAATAACCATTCACAATATGAGCGACGAGTGCGGAGTGATACAGTAATAAATTGATATAATTCGTTGTAGTGGGCCAAGTAGGTGGTATCCGTAAGGCAAAGCGTGTGAGCGATGTGGCTGCTATGGGGGCACCGTCGCCCGCTCCTCAATTTCCCGCGGCGCCGGCATATAACCCAGGATTTGCACCCGCCGGCCCACCTCCGTACCAAGAAGGAATCCAATTAGACACCCCGCAGAACTTTGGGTCTCCTGCTCCCGCTGCCCCAGCTGCCAGTAAGTCGAAGATAGATATACATATAGTATGTTGAGACTTCATCACTTTGTATCTAATACTGAAAACACTATTTGTTCCAGATACTTATTAGAGTATTTTATAAACAAAAAATTAAATCTTTCCTCTTTATAGTATTAATAAGTGTAGTTTAATAATAAAACTGCTAACAACATTGGTTTATGAAGTTTGTTATGCTCTTAAATTCCCATTGCACATTAATAAAATTATCTGAGAAATCAGTTGTATAAATTGTTGTATTATAGAATATTTAACAGTTTCATAGAATATAAACAACTATTGCATGTTGAAGATTTCAGTTATGGTTTCCCTCAATCACCGTTGGCTTCACCTGCACAGCTTGGTTCAATGCTACAACAACCAGTTGTTCAAGTGAGTACATTTATTTAATTATTTAAAGATACAGACAGTGTATTGCACAATTTACATATATTCTTTTTTATAAATTATTATTAGTTCAGTGTATACACAAATAATAATACTCACAGCAGCATAATACCTTTTTGCATAGAAGTTAGATGCAAAAATAAATATCTAGTCATTTTCACTGACACTTTTTATTTTAATGTATTATTTCAAAGAGAATAGGTGAAATTAACGAAATGATAAAGTGCATAAAATATGCATATTTATATGCAATTAAGTATTCCAATGTACATTTAGTATCAATTTGGTGTTGAAATATTATGACTTGCTTATTCATATTTGCTTTGGTTGGAACTGATTTTTTGGATGTTTTCTGTAAACTGACTGAAAGAAAACATTCAAGGAATTATTATTTTTCATATTTGTATATATTGACAAAGTGACATTTTATTACTAGCTTTTGCCCGTGACTTTGTCCGCGTGTTAAAGTTACTTTGAGCAGCATTTCTAACGATTATTCATTATATAGTGTAAAATACCTGAAATAAAGTTTCATCCCCAATTTTATCTGCTTGGGGGTAGAATTTATCAAAATCCTTTCTTAGGGGATGCCTATGTTATAGTAGCTTTATGCATGCAAAGTCTCAGCCCGATCGGTATAAATTGATAAAGTTTCATACAAACTTTCATCCTCTATTTTATCCCCTTGGGGGTAGAATTGATTAAAATCCTTTCTTAGCAGATGTCTACGTCATAACATCTACCTGTATACCAAATTTCAGCCTGATCCGTCCATTGGTTTGGGCTGTGCGTTGATAGATCAGTATGTCAGTCAGTCACTTTTGAGTTATATATATTTAGATAGTAAAAGTCCCTTATTAATGGTAATATGTTTTAAATAAAAAGAAAATGTTTCTCAGTTATCTTTTAAACTATGAAACATATCACCCACTGTAATATTAATAATAATAGAATTATTGCATGTTATCATTAATTACTTGGGTTTCTAATAGAGATGCGACGAATATACGCTTAGTATTCGGTATCTTTTCATTATTTGTTGAAAAGATAATGTTTGGCCTAATTATTGAGTGTTGGTGCCAAATATCGGTTTGAGTATTTTTATTTTCCTGACTTCACAATACAGTATAAAACTTTATATGTAAAGTAGAGCTTATTTTGTAAAATTTATATTATACTAGATTTCCGGCAGCGGCTTCGCCCGCGTGGTATTGTATTATACATAAAAACCGTACTTTTGAATCGCCCTATCTATTAAAAAAAATCCGCATCAAAATCCGTTGCGTAGTTTTAAAGATTTAAGCATACATAGGGACAGAGAAAGCGACTTTGTTTTACACTATGTAGTGATGAAGTCAAAGAGTGTGTTGAATCAAACAAATAAAGTTATTAAACTTCAAATCATAAATATTTATATTGCAGAACATAGTCAACATTTATTTTTTAACCTCTCTCAAATCCGCGTTGTTTTTAAAACTTATGACAACATTTATTTTTAAAACCTCAAATCGAAATTTTTAATGAACATACTTAAGGGGAAATTTACAATAATTGACACTATAGTAGAGATATATAAAGACAGAGAGCGCTTAGAAACACTCTGGCTAAATAAAATCAATAAAATGGTAAACCGAACAAATCGGCCGAATATCGGGTTCAGTAAAGGTTAAACCGAACACTATTCGGTATTAGGTTATTTGATGAAACCACTATTTGACGCATTTCTAGTACCTAAGGTTTTAAAAAGATTTTATTTCCTTGTATAGGTATACATATCTCTTTGAAATGGTTGTTCAATTTAAAATTTTAGATGATTGTTAAACAAGGGCATCTACAAAAGAGATTTTTTCTTAAACCATCTATGCTTAGACCTTCAAGTTAAAAACAACTTTTTCAAAACTCATGAATGATGTCTCTTCTTCGATGCAATGTAGTTAATACTCATATGTTAATTCATTAATAAAGTAAAATATATTAAGCCAGAATGTAATACTGATATTTTTGGTAATAAATCATTGCAATTCAACTGTGAGGTCTGTGCCTATTTTGACATTTAATTTAATTTCAATTAATTTATATAGCTTTTTTACCTTGACTGATTTAAAATTAATTACCTATAATTTGCATTTACTTGTAATTGTATTTACTCTTATGTATAAATATATAAACATATAAATAATTTGTGTCTTGTTGGTGTCATATTCAAAAAATAAATTAATTGATTAATTTACGTCAAGATCTAGAAAGAAAGAAATTTGATTAGTTGTTTTCTTGTGACTTTACCTGCGTAAATTATTGCCTGTCTCACCTAGCTCGCCTGGCTTGCTCTGTGTGTTGAAATTTTTTTATCAGTAGTCCAGTAATATCAGAGTTTAAATCGAACTGAAGGACAATAAACTCATCTTCGTAAATAGCATAGATTATTCTTCATATTCATCCCAGATGAATTAATTTTAAAGCAATCCAAAATGAGTACGTTAAACAGATATCCTACTTACAATAATATTTTTATTTAATGTGAAAAGTGATGAAAACATTTAGTAGTAAGTGTTGAAAACAAAGGATTTGGAACGAATTGTTTTGTAGGATATGGCGTACCAGTACGGTAACCAGTTGGCGGCGCAGGGTCGCGAGGCCGTGCGCGAGCACCTGGGCAAGTACGTGCCCGTGTCGCGGCTGCGGTACTACTTCGCGGTGGACACGAGATATGTGCTCAGGAAACTGATGCTCATACTGTTCCCGTTCACGCACAAGGTAAATAGTTAAACTCTCTCAGTGTACATTATTTATTATTGCCATTTTTTTTTATTTTGCTAGATTTGTAACAGAAATAAAATCTATAAAAAGTTCAGTTACTATTTAGTAGGTAACAATATCATCTAAATGAAAAGTCAATTTATTTATTAAACAATCCATATCTGAAAATAAATAAAGGAATCGTTGTAGAATCACTTCCTTATCTGTCAAGACCATTTCTCTTGAGCATAGAGTATATATCTATAATATATTAATATAAAATCAATAATAAGGAATCAAGTCAATAATTCCTAAAAGCTTTGAACCAAAGCAACCGAAATAGTTTGTAAAATTATTGAGACAAACTTTTCTAGAGCACTGTTTATGAACAATTACATATAAACATTCTTATTATGAGACTTTATTAACCAAGAAAACTAAATTTGATTGGTTTGTTAACTCAGGAGTGGATGTTGAAGTACGACCAGGAGTCGCCGGTGCAGCCGAGGTTCGACCTGAACGCACCCGACCTGTACATCCCCTCCATGGGATATGTTACCTACATCCTACTCACAGGATTCATACTCGGTGAGTCATCAGGGCAACATAATAGAATGGATAGAATAAGTAAACATTTTCTATTTAATCATATATGAAGATAAAAAGTAGTTTAAAGGCACTCAATGCAGAATATACGCTATTGACTAGTTAATTACTACTTATTTGAAAGTTTAAGCGTAGATGGTTAGACAATCACCTAAAATTCTAAATTTGTTAAATTTAACAACAATCTCAAAGCATATATACAGGGAAAAAAATCTCTTCAAAACCTTAGATACTAGAGATGCGCCGATTAGTGGTTTCACCAAATAACCGAATACTTACCGAACCCGATATTCGGCCGAATTATTTAGCCAGAGTGTTTCTAAGTGGTATCTGTCTTTATGTATCTCTACTATAGTGTCTATTATTGTAAATCTCCCCATAAGTATGTTCATGAAAAAAAAAAATTCGATTTGTGGTTTTAAAAATAAATGTAGCCTATAGTTTACAATAGAAGTAGTTATGATTTGAAGTTTAATTACTTAATTTTATTAGTTAAGCTTCGTCTTTTAGTTGTAGCCAGAAAAATAAAAACACTCAAACCGACAACAAAACCTACGACACTATTGTCTATCTGTTCATTGAATAAACGTATTTCCGCAGGACTCCAGCACAGATTCTCCCCGGAACAAATCAGTATACAGGCGTCGAGCTCCCTGGCGTACATAATATTCGAGATGATCATGTATCTAGTGACGCTGTACATCACCAACACGACCACTAACCTGCGCACCCTGGATCTGCTCGCGTTCTCCGGCTACAAGTACGTGGTCATGATCGGTGCGCTGCTCACCGGACTGGTGCTCGGGAAAACTGGATACTACTGTACTTTACTGTACACGAGTTTAGCTCTGTCGTATTTCCTGGTGAGTTGTTGACCGTTCACTGATAAAAATATATTAAGTCATTTGACTGTCATTGTTATTGAATCACATAAACTTAATAAAGTCTGAATTTGTTGATTGTTATTCTTTATCATTTTATTTTACTCTTAATAATTCTGCTAGAATTCAAAAAGTAGTAATTAATGAAGCGAAATCTGCAGGGCTTCCATTACTATGGGCGTCCCTCAGGGATCGATATTAGGACCATTGCTTTTTCTAATTTACATTAATGATCTTCCTCATTTTATAAAGAATTTGTGCGAGACAGTATTATTTGTTGCTGACACATCTTTAGTGTTTAAAGTTAAGAAGGGTAATGATTGTTTTGATGATGTAAATGATGCTCTCGACAATGTTCTACAGTGGTTTGATAGTAATAATTTAAAGCTTAATTCAAATAAAACAAAATGCATAAAGTTTAAATTACCTAATGTGAGGCATGTTAATACACTTATAAATGTAAATAGTGAAAAAGTTGAGTTGGTGGAATCGAAAAAGTTCCTTGGTATTACACTAGATTCCCGACTGCAATGGGATCCTCATATTGATAATTTGTCAAGTAGACTGAGTTCTGCAGCTTTTGCTGTTAAGAAAATTAGACTCTTGACAAATGTTGAAACGGCAAGATTGTTCTTGTGGGTTCTGCGGCTAGCATTTAGGATATTTTTATTGTACAAAAGAGAGCTGTCTGCGCTATATATAATTTACGGTCTAGAGAATCTCTCAGAGAAATATTTAAAGAAATAAATATTTTGACTGTTGCCTCTCAATACATCTATGAAAATATTATGTACGCAAGAAAACATTACGATTCCTTCAGAAAAAAGTAGTGTTCATAATTTTAACACGAGAAATAAAAATAAACTTGCCGTTCCAAGCTTCAGACTTTAGAAAACCAGAGGATCATTTCTGGGTAAATGCATTGCTATGTTCAATAAAGTTCCACAAAATGTAGTTGACCTACCCGTAAATAAATTTAAAATTCATGTAAAGAATATACTTATGAGTAAAGGCTTATAAAGTTGATGATTATTTTAAGGATCGCAATGCATGGAATTAATAGCCTTCGCTTTGTTCTATAAAGACTAATTATATGTTCAACCTATGTTCTACACTTTGAAAGTTGTATTTATTATTGTGATAATACATATTATTTTGGTAATGAGATGATTTATGTAAATGTCATTACTTATGATAAAGAGCTGAGAAGTTTCTTTCGCTTGTTCTTCTCATCAGCTAAAAGACGTCCTGGACGTGGTGAAAGTGGTAGGGGAAAAATATTTTTTTGGACGATTCAAAAGTGCTTGTTCATGATAAATAGCCTACTTGAATAAAGATATTTTCATTAAATATAAGGTTTTGTAAAAATTTGATTTTAAAAAGCTCATGTTCGAGCAAACAGATAGTTTCGTTGGTCATTATTGTGTTGTGCTGATTCATCATTGAGAGGATGTTTTATGACTGAGATTCCATTGCAGGTAAAAACCCTTCGAGTACAAGTGTTGTCCGGCTCCCAGCCAGGGGAGGCGGCCGCGGCGCCGATGTACGGTGACCACGCCGCGTACGCAGCTCCGGACGCGTACGGCGCTTACGGCGCGCACGGCGCGTACGGCGCGCACGGCACGCATGGCGGCACTAAGCGCCGCGTGTACTTCCTACTGTTTGTCGCCATCACACAACCGCTGCTCTCATTCTGGCTCACCTACAGTCTGCTGCCGCATGACGTGCCGCCTGCGCGATAGCATCCCTACATATTCCATAAAAATATTTATATTTAATAAAAACCGTTTACGGTATTTTTTACTCTATTTTAATTTGTTAAAAAAAAATCGCAAAAATATTCTTAAAAGGTTTCAATAATGTGTATTTAGTAATATACCGATTTGACTGATGATAATAAGTAATAAAAAACATATTCTAAAACCCTGCCACTGAATGGCGTTAGTGCCCGAAACATTGTGAAATAGTATATTTTATGCTTGCATTAATATTTGTATGATTGCAATCGTACAAAAATTAAGACTTTATTACTAAGGAACAAGGTAAAAATAAACATATTTCGTAAATAACGTAGTCAAAGCGGGTTTTGTTTACCTACAACTACTGTGCGAAATGTCTATGTACATAATAAATTAATATTTTACATACACAATTTTTTGTTTTATTTTTAAAAACTTGAGCCGATTAAGCGCCCTCTCAATCGGGCGCCCTCTAAACCAAAATAAGTTATTTTCAATCGGAATAGTTATAAATCAAAGTAAAATATGCAGCGGCTGCAGAAATCTATGAGCAGATAGCAAACTTGACCTTCCAGATGGTAAAATTATAGCAAACCGAATCATAATTATTATCACAGTTTAGTAGCTCTATGCGTAATTTTACTAAACTCTGTTGAGTGGTTAGCCATGTTTGCGTGGCGAGCAGGTAAACAGAGTGATTAAATTTGACAAAATTTTGTTTTCACAATGTTTATATTTTTCAAGAAAATACTTAAAAAAGCCGGCCTAGTGCGAGTCCGACTCGCGCGATGGGTTCCGTATGTACCATTATCTATACAAAAAGCCAACAAATAATTTTTGTTGTACGGGAGCCCCTTTAAATATATATTTTATTTTATTTTGGTATGTAGTTGTTGTTATAACGGCAAGACAGACTCAGTAATGAGGCCTGTTTTTACCTTTGAGCCATACCCTAGTATAGCTCTAAAAATGGGCACACAAAAGACTTTCGTGGTATACATAGAAGTTTTTCTTCTTTTTTAATTCATGGCCTATTTGAGTTTACACAATTCCGCCAATATCATGGGTATGTTCCGATATACACTGCGACCACTGAACAGTATGACGTCAATTTAGTATACTGGAAGCCCGTTCCTTTATAGCTAGTTATACTGGTGACTTTTTAAAACGGAACGCAGTCCAGTATACTGTTAATCCTATTTTTTGGCGCCATTTTCAAATTTGTTAATGCAAGGTGAATATAAATATAAAGATTCCCTCTTTTCAAAAGAAAATTGGAAAATTGTATAAAAAAATTATTTATCAATTAAATACATCTTATAAATAAACATAAGTATTTTTTTTTGTTTATTTAGAAACTTATCATTTTCTGATTCTGTTTCGACTGATCACGTGATCAAAAGCACTGCGAGCACCTTACCTCGAAATCTCCAGTGCTCAGTGCTCACAGTACAAAATATGGCGGCAATTTATGACGTAATAAATTTCCCTAGGGTACTGTACCAGTGTACTGGCAGTCCATAACGGAACGGATTTTTCAGTTTCAGCATCGGAACATACCCCATGTTTCTGGTCTTTACACGTAAAGAACTATAGTAAAATATGTCAGTTTTGAATTTTGGGGTAATAGATAAAACAAAATAAAGCTCTGAGTGTGTCTATCTGATTGCATTGTTAAAGATGATACAAATAGAATGTATGTGGAAAAAAAAGATATTTATAAATTAAGACTACTAATGATTGCTAGGAATTTAGATAAAGTTTTGAATGGGCTGGGTTTCTCCATACTCAAAATACATTTTATATTTGTTGGACGAGGAACTTTTGATGGGAACAAATCATAAAGGGAAATGGATAAATTAAGACAATTAAATAAAATATGATCCGTATTTCCTTGATCAATGCCTGGGGAAGACACATGTCACACCTATTTTCTAAGTTAGCGCCATAAAATATCAATACGACTGAAGTTAGCATGGAATACTCACTTAGAAAAAAGCGCGGGAAACGTTTAACTTTGGCGGGCGCGTTTTTTGATTTTAATATTTTTAACTAATACCTCTTGCATAAAATAGTGATCAGTTAATTGGTTTGTACTTACGTATTTATAGTGTATTTAAGTATTATTTATTATCTACTTTCTGGTGAGTCAAAATTTAATTAATATTTATTAGGTGTATGAACGAGCTACCGGAGCCGGGGGGTTTTGTCCCCCCGGCTAGTAATTTTGTTACGATAGGATCTAATAATGAATCTGGTATGGATACGGATGGATCAGTAGCTAGTCGCTCTCTGAAAAGGAGTCGACTTCATGTATGCAAGCATTGCAATAAAAAAAGACGCAAACATAATAAATCAGAACCAAAACCTACTGATTGTAGTTGCTATGAATCGACTCCAGTTCAGTCTGAGCTGATTAATAAAACTGACTCATCTACGAAAGACCCACCTGAGTCTAATCCCACACCTACACCTACTTTTGCCCCTGTATCCGTTGGTAGAACATCATATGATAAAACAGATGCTGCTCCTTACGTGGTACATGTTCAAAAACAACAAGCGACACCTAACGATGGAACCTCATTGCATCCAATGGCTTTTGGTAAATTTTTAAAAAAGAACTACTTCAAGAACATTATTAATGGTAGCGTAAAAAAGATTGGCCGCAATAAAATGTCTGTCTCTTTTTCAACACACTATGATGCAAACGATTTTATTATCCACAACAGTCTTGTTACAAACAATTTAAAAGCATTTATTCCTTCATTCAACATCACAAGAATGGGTTTAGTTAGAGGCGTTCCTTCAGACTGGTCTCCCGAGGAGGTTAAAAGTAATATATCTGTACCTATAGGTTGTGGTGAAATCTTGAAAGTAAGACGGCTAAATTATAAAACCTTTGTAAATGATACCCCTACTTGGAAGCCATCTCAAACTATCATTTTAACCTTTGATGGTCAAATCTTACCAAAACGCATATTTATGTGTTATAATGCTCTTAATGTAGATTTATACATATATCCTACGATACAATGCTACCAATGCTGCCGCTTCGGGCATACAAAGTCTCAATGTAGATCTAAACCTCGATGTTTCAAGTGCGGTCAAAATCATACAGGCGAGTCTTGTAATACTTTAGAAGAAGATGCATCCTGCTGCTTATGTGATGGATATCATTTTGCTAATAATAAGTTATGTCCAGAATTTGTAAGGCAGTCACAAATCAAACTTTACATGGCACAAAATTGTGTATCTTATGCTGAAGCTTCTAAATTGATACCATCTATTTCTAAGTCTTATGCTGAAACTGTAGCTGCCCCACCTGCAAAATTGTCCATGAATGAGATGGAAAATAGTAGAGCTGTTCCCAATGTAAGCCCTAGGACATCTTACAAAAAAACAACATTTCTTAAACCTCGCTCTTCCCCTATTCCTACAAAGGGGTATGACACAGTTGCTCATAAAGCGTTATTAAAGGAATTTATGATTCCTTCACCTAATAATGGGTGTGGTTTTAATAATGATACTAATTCTGCATCAGGTACACAACTTCCTTCAGATTTTATTTCTGCTCTTTTCAATCTTTTTTCTCAGTTTAATCTCTTCCCACCGTCCAACGCTGCACAGAATATTGATAATAATATGAAACCAACTTTAAATGGACAGACAGACAGACAAAATAATTCAGTGGAATTGCTGTAGTGCTATTAGTAAAAAAAGTGAAATAATTTATTTACTAAATAAATATGAACCATCTATTTTAGTTCTATCAGAAACATGGTTAACATCACAAAAACACTTTCAAATTAAGGGTTATACTTCTTTAAGAGAAGATAGAAGTGATGGGTTTGGTGGTGTAGCCATTCTCATAAAAAATGGTGTTAATTATGATCCCATTAGCATATCTATAAATCATAAAGATATTTCAATTGTAGCAGTGAAAGTATATAATATTAACATAGTGTCGATTTATATCAGTCATCCATCTGCACCAATTTTTGGTGAAATAAATAATTTATTCTCTACCCTTCCCAGACCCTTCTTAGTTTTAGGAGATTTCAATTGTCACCATAGTGCATGGGGAAGTTCTATTATTAATAGTTATGGAGTAAATTTATTAGATATTATTGAGTCACATAATTTATGTTACTTGAACACTGGATCACCCACAAGACTCACTGATCCTAGACTTAATAAGAGTGCAGTAGATTTATCAATATGCACACCAAATTTGGCTTCTTCTTTATCCTGGCATACTTTATCTTCTACATTAGGAAGTGATCATTTCCCTATTATTATTACATTTCCGTTTAATAAACCTAGCATTACCCAGAAAAAGTCTACTAGAAGATATAAATTACCTGATAAAAGTTCTAAAGATTGGATTACTTATAAATCTAATGTAGAATGCAAGCTTAAGTACCTCCCTGTTATTACTCATGGAAATGAAAACATTTGCGCTGAAGCATTATCAAATATTTTAAATGAAGCTGCCAGAGAGGTGTTTCCTGTCAAAGAAAACAATTGCACAAAAATACCATCTCCTCCTTGGTGGGATAAAGATTGCACTGAAGCGGTTAAGAAGAGAAAAGAGGCTGAAAGAATTTACAATAATAATATGTCTGAAGCTAACTATGAATACTTGTCTAAAACGATTGCTGAAACAAAAAGATTATTTAAAAAGAAAAAATTCGACAGTTGGAAAAGTTTCTGTAATTCTATTTCTCCTAACACACATCCTACTCTTGTTTGGCAAAACATAAAAAGATTTAAATCTTCATATAATATATCTTCTGGAATTACTATTCCCACCGAAATAACTATTGATTTCATGGACAAATTGGCCCCTTCATGGGTTCCCATGCTCAACACTGCACAACCTTCGCAGTCGTCTTATAATCAATCTGGTTTAAATAGCCTCTTTTCTCTTCGTGAACTGAAAAGTGCAATATATCATGTTAAAGATTCTGCTCCGGGGGAAGATGGAATCCCATATTCATTCTTTGCTAATGTAAGTGACAATATCCTTTTTTATTATCTACAACTTATCAACACTATCATGTTGACAGGAAACATACCTCTGTCATGGAAGTCACAAGTAGTGTTGCCCATCCTCAAACCAAATAAACCACCATCTGAGGCCAGCTCATATCGACCGATAGTTTTATCTTCTGTGCTGATAAAATTAGCTGAAATTTTAATTAAAAACCGTTTGGAATGGTTTGTAGAAAGTCAAGGTATACTATCGAGAACGCAATATGGATTTAGAAAAGGGAAAAGTACAATGGATAATATAAGTATTTTCACAACTGACATACGTATAGGTTTTACAAACAACGAATCTATAGTGGCTGCTTTTTTGGACATCAATTCTGCTTATGATAATGTGTTAGTGTCAGTATTAAAAAATAAATTAGAATCGCTAAACATCCCGTCAATGTTAACTAATTTTATTATGAACATATTAGAAGAACGTAATTTGATTGTTAGTTTATCTAGTTATTCAGAAATAAAAAGGACTGTATGGAAAGGGTTACCCCAAGGGTCAGTCCTTAGCCCTTTGCTATACAATATCTATACACATGATTTGGATTCTTGCTTCGATAATCATATAAAGCTTTTACAATATGCGGATGATTTGTTATTATATTCAACAAACCGATCAGTTGAGATAGCTGCGTCACATATTGAGTTGGCCTTGATTTCATTACACTCCTGGATGCTTACCAATGGCTTAGATTTATCTGCATCCAAAAGTACAATCGTAGTTTTTTCAAGAATGAGGAATCCCCCTTTAATTAGAGTTCATTATAATAACTTGCCTATACCAGTTGAATCACAAGCTAAGTTTTTAGGTGTGATATTAGATTCCAAGCTCTCCGGTCGCTCCCATATAGATTACATTATCAAGAAAACTGAACGACTATTGAATCTTCTTCGATGTCTCTCCGGTGTCTGGTGGGGGGCTCACCCTCAATCGCTCAAGTTGGTTTATAACGCGCTAATTCGAAGTGTATTGGATTATGGTACTTTCCTTTTAGAACCTGCCAGCTTAATTTCGTTAAAAAAATTAGACGGTATTCAATCAAAAGCACTTAGAATTATAACTGGTGCTATGAGCTCAAGCCCAATCAATGCTTTACAAATCGAAACTTGTGAACCCCCACTCAGTATTAGACGACAATTTCTTGCAGATCGATTTTTGTTCCGATCTCTTCAATTCTCCGACCATCCTCTTTTCCACCTACTTAACTCTCTGAACAATGAAATAACTACAGCTAGCTATTGGTCTCATAAACAACTGCCCTGTTTAATAGTAAGCTATCAAAAATACTTGAGCCTCCATTCACCTATACATCGGTCAAATCGTCTTCCAGTGTTTAATATAGATTATGACGCCTTGCTAATTTCACCATCTGTAAGGTACGATCTGATAGATAAACATAACGCTAAAACCTTTAAATCAATTATAGATTCCGAATACGAAAATTACCATCATATATACAGTGATGCTTCTAAGTCTTCCTCTTCTGAATGTACGGGCATAGGAGTCTACCACTCTCAGTTTTCCATTGTGCAGAAAAGTAAACTTCCTCCGGAGACATCTGTATTTACGGGGGAATGCCTTGGCTTACTAAAAGCTGTCGAGTATGTCGTTCTCATGAAACTAAATAAATCAATAATATTTTCTGATTCAAGGAGTGCTTTACAAGCTATTGATAATTTTCCATTCCGTACAAGATTATATAACCCACTTGTGTTTGATATAAGAAATAATCTTTATAAATGTGTTAAAAAAGGGTATCTGGTAGAATTTGTGTGGCTTCCAAGTCACGTGGGAATTCAAGGTAATGAGAAGTCTGATCAATTAGCAAAAGAGGCAGTACATTGTGGAGACATGTTTCCTTTTAAAAATTATACCCATGACTTGTTGTTGCTGCCGTTGTGTCATTTGCATAAGGAGTGGCAAACTTACTGGACAAATAGTGGACAAGTAAAGGGAAAACATTATTATCAAATACAACCTAAAATTATGATGAAACCGTGGTTCCGTAAAATTAAGATCAGTAAGACTGCTACTAGTATTTTAATACGCTCGAGAATTGGTCATGTTAGTACACCAGCACATCTTACTAAGCTGGGAATTGTTAGTGATGCTTCCTGTAGGTGTGGGTCAGACTACTGTGATCTTAACCACATATTGTTTTCTTGTACACTGTACGATCGATCCGAATTCCTTAAAGATCTCATATCCTTACGTGTTTCCTTTCCCACATCCATAGTTTCTTTGCTCTCGTCTAATAACATATCAGTATATCAATGCATAGCGTCTTTTATAATGTCAAATAATATTAAAGTCTAAATATCGTTATTACTTTTTATGTATGTTATATAACGTATATATTCTATATATATTAATATTTTCGTTTCCTGATCCTATTGCTAAAAACCTGTCGCAAATCCTATCCTTTTTCCTACCATCGTTTCCCTACCTTTGACACTGGCAAATACACAAACCGTGTGACGCCAAAAGAAGAAAAAAAAAAAAAAAAAAAAAAATTTGCATGGATTGGTGATAGGCTATCAAATGACCTTAGCGCATTATGACATAATAGAGATGTTCCACTAAGTGATCAACAACTATGATCGAATATATTGTCTAAATGCAAAATTGACCAAATATAACAATTAGAACAAATTTTCATCTTTATCGAAAATTTCAAATATTTGTAAAGATATTTCTTTTGGCTGATTGCATGAATTACCTGAACATTGATGAAATACGTTCTGTAGTAGAAAAAAAAAAAATAAGTGCTTTAAAAATTCGTCAGTCCTGTTAGGCCCTGGGTAGCTCATTGGTTAGAGCAGTCGCCTGGATTACGAAAGGTCATGGGTTTGAATCCCATCTCAAAGTACCATAGGCAAAGTGGATATTTTAAGATTTTTTCATTAAGAATATTTTACAATAACTATAATCGAGTTAAGAATTTAAACGATTGTTATGCTATGGGTAAACACGTCCTTCCTATCATCTAAGTTGAACATTTTGTCGCTAATACTTTTAAATATATCATCATAAAATGTTCTATACATATTTGTAATCGTAACTGTAGCACATTCATGACTGTTCTGTTAAGCAAAAAAATCTGTAAAGCATTATTTTTTTATTGTGGATCAGTGAATTTCTTGAAGAGGTCTATGAACCCCTTGCTAATTTGCTTGGCAATCCCTAATCTAAATACATACCAGTTTCATTAACGTTAATATGTCGATGTTTCTGAAAATGTGGAATTTGTGGTAGAACTATTGAAATTAAATAAAGAATAATTTCATCGCCGAAGCAAATTATAATGTATAAAGTATGCATACCTAATAATACTAATCAAAATAAAATACGCCCATATAAAAGTGATTAAATGTACTTGTGACAAACAATTTTTTAAACGTCAAATGTCATTTACATAATAGTGAGTAAATAAAGTTATATGTGAATATTTAATTTATTGAATTTATAAATAGGAAGAGGGTAGTTTTGTCTATTTTATATCATTGCTGTATATTTGGATGCAAGAAGCCTTCCTTCTCTTTATTAAATTCTCTCGCAATCATTAAATTTCGAAAGATAACATTTTCGAAATGGTTTCATTGGTTTCGACATGTATGTACTAGTGCTACCGTGAACACCGATCATGGTGCAATAACTTTATAATATCCCTGTTAGAAAGTTATTACACCATTAATTCCTTTTTTTTCACCATACTAGTAGATTAAAGTATTGTCTTTGATATCATTTCATATCTTTGTTGGCTAAATGAAAGCGCACGTCTATTTAGACTTTTTGTACTGACCGTTTTTTTAATAATAATACTTTTTTTACAAATTATTTGTTAGTGTTACATAATATGATGTATGATATAATGCTTTGTTTAATGGATGTGCTATATGCTGTGTGTGTTGCCAGCTGTGCTGAGCTTCGCGCAAGTTTCTTCATCATAAAACATTAAATTTAAAGGTAATACATAGTTTATATTTAACATTTACAAACATTGCCAAAATATTATTTCTCTTCTATGAATCCTGTAAACAAAAACAAAATCATTCGATTATAAAGTATATGTGCACATCACTAAAATTTATCAGCTGGTAACTGTCAAAAGCCCGTATTACCAATATGACGCAATGACACTGACAGATGTTTCAGTTTGGTCTCGAGCTACACAACATTCGCAGTATCGACAAACGTTCATAAAACGTTTGGACGTAAAACTAGTGTCACTCTCCTCTTATTTTAATAATTTTGACTTTACAAATTTTCTATTTTTCCTTCGTTTTAGTTATTTAAGTGTTAAGTGTACTCGTTGAAGTTTAAATAATGTACAGTGCCGCAATCATATACGCATTCTGAAGCAATTACGTAATGGGAATTATGCTACAGAAGTTAAAAGTTTTGCCCTGAAATTCAACATGGCCGCTGACACAGGAATGGATACTTGCCCTAGTCCGGAAATTACGGACTCCAGAAAACGACCCCTGGATGGAGACTCAGAAAATGGGGACGTCAAGAGGTCACACTTCAGCTCGGGTGAGTTTAGCTAGAGTTACATGCACCTACACTATACATAAGTATGTTAATTTGCTTCATTACGTACTTGGCAAGGCGAGCATAACATTGACAGCGAATTGGTGGTCGATTCAGCCTCTGTCAAGATTCTTATCAGAATACACTATTGTTATCAGTTTGACCTATATACAACGATAATAAGGTCATTATGTGCCGAAATATAGCTGTAACGATCGTAAACTGAACATCTAGATGTAATGAAATGTTTTGAAGCGTAATTATACTTTATTGTCACAAGTAAGATTGTAAGCCCCGTAAATTTGATAATTTTATATGGCATTTAAGTGAATTTATCAAAAGCGATTCGAGACTTGCCTGATAAGAGGCAACATTCTGGTCTAAAGCAAATTATCAATTAGTAATATTTGTTGTACTTAATTGTGATACCATAATGTTAAAAGAGAGTCGTTATTTTTTAGTGCAAGACTTGGTGACGGCCTTGCCACTGGCCAACGGCCATGGCAATATAACGTCTCATTTCGGTGAGTCGTCAGTCAACACATCTGATCATTGGCTTTGTGGTTGTCGCGGCGCGCATGCCTCATCACCCTGCTGTCGCTCACCGCCCTGCACACCTAACGAGGGTTCCCTTGCACCCTCGCCTGCCCCCAGGCCTCGAGCAGACTGTGAGCCAGCAGCGTAGGTGTTAGCGTTTGCCGTCAACTCGTCCATCGCACACAGTAAACATTGCCTCGTTGTCTTGAGCCATGTTGTACTTAGACTCACATCGACCACTCATGGCTTAGTCGTTGCATCTTTGGTGTGAGCATCACCTCAATGTACAGTCCTCGACATTATTACTTGGTGTACTTGTTCGCAAATTCTCTTCTTGAAATTTATTATTTCACATCTTTGAACGCTTTTATTTGCTTTATTTATTTGAAGTCATCCATTTACTAAACTAACAAATCCGATGAGATAACATTTTTATTTGCATAAAGTTATTCATTAATTCTTTATAATAATATTACACAAGTATGTATATTCATACCTAGATTGGCACTAAATCATAATCATTTATCTAAAAGAAATTGTAGTAAAATTAAAAATTATTGAAATTTTTTTCATTCTGAAGTTGCAGATGTTCACTTACAAGTAGCCAGTGTGTAAAGAACACATATGAAGGTTCAGTAGGTTCTTAACAAGGCCAATAGCTGCAAGGTCATTGCCGGTTCCAAGTGTATTTGTTACAAATGTCACAATCTAATGGCTTACAAAATAAGGTTGATAATTTGTTGTTCAGCATTTGATAATTTGAAGGTCGTCCAGTGCAATTTGTCGTATTCACGTTACTTGGTTAGTTGGTTTGGATGAAGTGTGTTCATATTTAGTAATTGTCGACATTTTTTATAGATGCCTTATGTTTGTTACATTCCAATTGGAATGTATCTTATTTGATTTTCCGTATGTATCTGGAAGAAGTTAGTATAATGATTTTAAAAGAAGTGATTTTACATCTAAATATTTTGAGAAAGAGTGTTATAATCAAACGAATCCTTAATTTATAGTGAGAAATACCTATACCTATAGGGCGTGCGACTCTTATCAAATTCGTCACCAGAAATTCGGCGGATTGAACTGAAGAATCACGGGGTTTGGCCAAAATTCGGTTTAATCAGAATAGCCGATCGATACAAGGACAAAAATATTGGGCGTTTTGCAGTTGTAAAAAATATACCTATTAGCTTGGCTAATTGTGAAAAACAATATGAAACATTTAAACGTAATGTATCCTACTTACTAGGTTACATTAACATTATTAAGAGAAATAAAAATGTTTTCTGGCCTTTTAAAATTAAGCTTGGACCACTGCTCTAGAATACGTAAGGCAATGAAAAGTAAACTTTTCTTCACCGAAAGTTTGACCGCATTTCTATTCGGCTCGTTACGTCACTTGAAATAATCCAAACTTACATAAATGATGAAACTGGAGTTTCCAATGTAATTTAGAAGAGAGAGTAACATTATCTCATTTCTCCTTACTTCAAATATTTGCTTACAAAACAACAGGCGAGGTGCAATCTAACTTCGCCTGAAGGCCATTAATGATATCTTTAATATTTTTATCGAATACCGCTTGCGGCTGCGTCTGTATTAATTTTGAAAATGATTTTATTTCAACAAGTGTGAAGTACGAACGTGCGATAATTTAATTATTATTTTTCCCACATTGCATGTAAACCTTTTTCTGCTAAATAAACCAAAACGAAATACCCAAAAAGAACAGTTTCGCGTGTTATAACTTTTACAAATCACAAGCATATTAAATATATTCATTCGCATTTCAAATTTAGCCTTGAATTCGATTAGTAATAAACTGGTACTCTTCTCTTATAATATTTAGCTGCCTTTCAAAATCGTGACTTGGACGCCCAAGTGATGTCCACTTTTATCACTACAAATATCTATCATAATTATTATTTATGATATATATCGCAATCATAAAATAATACATATACCAAACCTATATATTTTCAGTATAAATTTTTCCGTATATTTAATAGTAGGTTAGTCTGGTCTAGTTCATTAGACAGCGATTGCTCCTAATGTTCAATAAATTGACTTGATGCAGATAATTAATACAAATATATATATTTTTAATGGATATTTACAGGCGGTGCTAAATCAAAATAAATTATAATTTCCATTAATTTTATAGGAACTATATTTAAATTAAAAATCGCAATGGACACGAAAAACTGTCTACCACATGATTTAAAAGAACATCGTCATAACCTGCCAACGAAATCAATACACATTATACACATGACCAGGCGAGCGAAGCCGCTGGCGGAAAGCTAGTGAACAATAAAATATAACGAGCTGGTAATTGTTACACCATCAATTTTATAATCGATAAGTTTCGAAACGAACTTTCAATTCTTGTTGTAATTAAAAATAAATTTAAAAATAATAGTTTAATTTCATGTACGTAGATAAATTGTCTTATATTACTTAAATGTAATATGTTTTTCTAATGAGCAACTCATATTTTGGGGCTAATAAGTTTTTACATGATGCTAAACAGTTTCTTATCACTTTTAAAGATTCATATTGACGATAGAAAGTGATATTTTGTTTTTTGGAGTTTATATGTGTTCAATAAAGAATTCGTTATGTTGTGAAGTACTAGCAACGAAACTATTTAAACGGCAACTGCTTTATTGATAAGACGCGATAAAAGTTAGCCTCTCAACTTCATATCCACCGCAATCAAACTTGTATCTACAGATAACAACAGTAGATAAACACGACGCCAACTTATTACCAACTAATTTACTGATATTATATTGATACCAGATAAGTAGCAACCAACTTGCCGCTTTGCAAGATACGGTTTGTCGACATTCCTTTGTTGTATCCTTTTGCTACAAAGGCGATGTGCCGTCTATTCTAAATAGAACTCTTAAAGTAGGTATGTGTATTTAATTTGAATTTCTACATGACTTTTCTTTCTTTAAAATATGTCGTTCATGTTTCTTTGGTCTAGTTTTGCTCGTTCTCTGTTAACTTTGCATACAGTGTTGTCCAGTACGATTGCTATTCGTTGACTAATTCTCTGTATAGGATAGGGTTGTATAAAGCTCACAATCCGATCTATTTGGAAGGATCCACAAAGGCAGAATCCTTATCGTGGATCCCCCCCGGTCTTCTGTGGCAGTCTCATCACGCATCCACCATAAAATCCTGGCCATGCTCCTTCAGATTTCCACTTGTTTAGGTCTAATCAGAATTCTTTAGGCAGCGTCAGGTTAACATCACGCGATGACTGCTAAAACCACCTGTCGCGGTTTTTTGATCAGACGGCAAAAAGTTATAGAACAAAACGGTACATGTATACTTTAGTTAAATGCAAATAATCTTTATTACAAAATGTTTTGAATTTACATATAAAATGGGAAGAAACTTTTTCGCCAATCTATTATATACCGATATTTCAACATCGCACTTAATTTGTAGTGTATGTCATCATCATCATCATCACCAGCACTTTTACGTCCCCACTGCAGGAGCTCAGGCCTTCCTTATGGATGGTTAAGGAGGATGGGCCATGACCCTCCACGCTGGCCCAATGCGGATTGGAGGGTATCAACGACTGCAAATGCAGCCGGGACCAACGGCTTGACGAGCCTTCCGAACCACGGAGTAGTTCGAGATAATCACTTTTTGGTCACCCATCCTGTGACCGACCCTAGCGAAAGTTGCTTAACGACTACGATCGCGGGCCGCGGCGCTAATCCTCTACGCCACCGAGCTACACCGTAGTGTATGTAGTAACATTGATTTCAGCTACTACTTGTTACTATTCATTGAATGTTGCTCGTCGCATCCACACTGCCAGTAACAAGCTAGTTGTGTTACAATTTACATAAACTATAGTCCCCTTATACCTAAATCAACGTTAAGTAACTAGGTAGGTTCCATACCAACAATATCGACCTTAATAGGTTGTTCCTAACTGTCAAGTAAACATCGTTCTGGTACAAACGCAACTAATAAAATTAAAAACGAACTACTGGGTAAATATTTTTTTCAAATAATAGAACTGACATCAAACTTAAAAAATAGATAAAAAAAAAAATAATTTTTTAAACTTCAATAGCAGTTTCTTGAATAAGTCGCTTTTGAGATATGTATTATTAAAAAAAAAAAATTTTATATAGGTGCTGCTTCCGAATCATTGTTCGCTTTATTACAAGGAGCACTCAGAAACACTTTGGCCAAATAATAGTAATGAAACTGTAAACCCAATAATTCGGCCGAATATCCGGTTCGGTATAAATTAAACCGAATATCATTCGATTATTCCGTATACGTGACGGGTGCCCATGCGCATGCTATTAAGGAGGTCGTTACTAATAAGCGATAGATAATGTTGATATTAAAACTACATTGTAATCTTAATACTGTGTAAATGTAACTTTATATTACGAAGTATTATTATATTTATACTTAACCTC